ATTGAAAAGATAATTTTTTAAATTTTCAAATGGTGTAAAAATAATTTTTGTGCTGTAATATTTCCGGACGTTATTAAGGAGAAACGCCAAAATTTAGCTCAATTTTTAATTAATTAAAATTTGAAGAAAAGGGTTCCGAGATGCACATTCCCGCCCTTCAAAGTATGTTTATGCCAAATCTCGTAACTCTAGGTCTAGGGGTCTGCCCTGTAGAGGACCAACACACAGACACACTCATTCTCCTTTACTAGCCGCCTTCGGCGACCAGCTTGATCGCCGGAAGTAAAATTTCTACTGAATCTCTTAAGCATAATTTTATATTCATAGTTCCCTTTACAAAGTAGTTTTAAACTTCAAATTGCCATAGACATTTAACCCACGTTCTTTTCGTAGCCTTGCCTTGTCTACATTAACGTAAAATACGCATTTGATTTCAACAGTAAATTGGCACTAATTGGCATAAAACACGCTGATAAAAATAATTAAAACACATCAAAGATAATCTTTCAGTCTACTGGTTATTTCATTATGTATTTACCATCTTGAGAACTTCATTTACAGATTTCACAGAAAAATTGATCAAATAAAAGAAGAAAGTAAAATCCATAGGATATTTTCTAAGCTTTAAACATTGGAAGAGAAACACGCAATTAAATATTTGTTTACACAATGAAAATGGTTTGAAATGCGTTATGAAAAGAATTGCTGTAAATTATGTCAAAAAATGTTTTTAAAAATTTATTAAAATTAGACAAAAAATGGTAAGACAACTTTATTGATATCATTGAAAAGATAATTTTTTGCCTTCCAAATGGTATAAAAATGTTTTTTTGTGCTGCAATAGTTTCGAAAGTTATTAAGGAGAAACTCCAAAATTTTGCTTATTTTTTAATTAGTTAAAATTCAAATTAAAATTTCAAAAAAATGGCTCCGAGGTGTACAGTCCCATTCTCCAAAGAAAGCTCGTGCCACATTTCGTAGGTCAAAGTCCAGCGGTCTGCCCTGTAGAGTATCAACACACATTCTCCTTTATTATTAGTAGAGATAATTATATTTCAAAAATTCTGAATAATGCAATAAATGATTGAGTTAACAAAAACATTGGAAATAAATGAAAAATACACTGTTAACAAATTATAATACCATTTGTCTAAACAGAAAAGAAGTATGAAAAGTTGTATAATAATAGTCCTAACTACTTCAAACACTCTGTTTTTCATTGAAATGACTAGGTGGTTAAGTTCAATTTCCGAAATATTGCGCCATTCTTTTGCAGGGAGTACTTTCAGTTCATTGGCAAATGAAAACTGTTAATTATTAGCATAAACTTTGCGAAACAATATACTCCAAAGATTTTCCATTTGGTTTAAGTCTGGACTTCGACTTGGCCATGACAAAACATTTACCTTTTCTTTTTAAAACCATTAGTGGGTGGATTTAGATGTAGGGCAAGAAGCATTGTCCTGCTGAAATATTCAGTTGACACCAGCAAATGAAAACCTATCGGTATCAGATGATCATAGATAATGTGCAGAATCCATACGTCCCGAAATTCGGTATAATCTCAAAATCCATCATGACTAAAGGCTCTCCAAACCATTACTGATCCTCCTCCTACTTATCGACTGAAGCGTTCGATCGGATCCTTCCTCAAGTCACGTCATTAGTGTTTGCAGTCATTGAGACAATCAAATTTAAATTTCTTTTCATCAGAAAATATAATTTGTTTCCACTCATCGCTCCATGACGTTACATTTTTAGCCCATTTCAGTCTTTCTTCTCCACGATGTTTCAATAACTTTGATGTTTTCTTCATTTTCATAAATTCTGTCTTAGTATTTGATTTAAGATTCTTCCAAACTGTTACATGTGAAGTTTTTTTGCTGACATGCTTTGAAATTTCACGAGTCAAAAGACATTTTTCAGTCCCTTGCTGTCAAAATCCTTTTTCTTCCAGATCGTTTTATTTTGTTTGATTCGTCTTTTCTAATTATAACCTTGCGAATGGCAGTGTTAGAACGATTCATTAACCTAGCTATTTCTCTTTTAGATTTACCTGCATCCTTATAAAATGAATACCGCGAGTACACGGATGAGTTGTTGCCGGATAAGTAAGCAGGAACTCGTCTCCCTGCGGGTATAGTAATGGTCACTCTCTGTGGCAATGGTGATGTGGCTCTTAGGGCCCATCTCCAAAGACGAGTCGTACACCGGTAAAACGGGTGGTCGTCGCATGAGCCGCTCCTAATGGGGGATATTAAGCGGGGGCCACAGTGCCCGACTATCTGTCGTGGCGGCCGGTTATTGATGTTTTACCGGATTCTAAGGCAGGACAAGGTGATTCTTTTTGTGATTAACACTCGGATAACTCTTTACCCCGCGTCATCTTCAAATAAATCGTGGATGACCGATTCAAAACCTGCACCTTTGCTTCTCAGATAATGCTTTCACGAAATATTAATGCATGTGTTTTAAATGATTTTGATGTGATGTAAAATGCTAATGCTAATTTTCTCAGATGGTTTTATAATTTCTTAATCTTATTCAATTCTTAAAAACTAAGTAGATTTTAATACAATTTGAGTTAATTTTTAAAGTTGGAATTAGTACAGAACAGAACGCCGTCTCTTACCCCCGTACCCGTGACCAGACCGGTCACTGAACGGTTTGCTGGGCAAGACACAGGAATTTTATTTAAGAAAAAAGAAAAACAAAATAAACAAAAAGAAAGAAATATATACACTATGTATAGCACTGGAAATAGTACAGAAAATGTTAAGATCAATTTTAAACACCCACGCTAAAAATTTGCATATTACGTCTTCTGTAGAAATGCGCCAATTCGTTAGTGGTCTTATAATTTCTTACCACACTGTAAATTCAATTATTTTAAAAGATCTAGCATGCGTTAACGTAGACAACTTTTTTAAAATCCTAATACGATATGGAACCTTTTCTAAAGTAGAGTCGAAAGTTATTACGGAGAAGCATCACAATTACGAAATTAAATAAGATTACTAGAAAACCTTCAGAGTAATTTATTTCAGTTTAATTTTGTTCAAATCCCCGTTATGAAGCTACAGGAGGGTAATTTTGAGACAGACCTCATGATTATGCACTGTGGTCAGATTTCATGGTTGACCCCTGAACCAGCACCACACTGTCTAAATTTCCAGTTCACGGCAACGCAACAATTTCGGACCCTCGGTGACAAATTTCGCATGATCCAAGTCCAAGTATACTACTGATAACGGATCTCTTATCCGTTATTCTCCTATGTTGAATATGAGTCCTCCCTATTAGCACAATATATTGTACGGAAACTCTACGATGTTGTTGGATATTTTGAATGCCGCCCAATATCTTACTACCAATATTCCGTCACTCAAATCGTAGATGGAAAAGGACAGCCTTACGAAATTTTGATTGAACTGGGCCGCAGTAATTTGGCAGGCCGTCAGAACTGTAACCAGGAATTTGACAGATAGTCAATCGACCGTGTGGTCAGGGAATGCGTATTTTTTCTTTTTTAAAAATAATATTTGAAATTAATTATTTAAAATTAAATTAACAATTTATAAATATTTGAACTAGAATTTAATCATTTTATGCATAAAATAACTATTCACTCATATGAAACGTGAGTTTAAATTTAAATTTAATTTTAAGTTGTTAAATAATTATAAAAACAACATTAATTATGATTTTAAAATAGTCTATTGAAATAGTAACAAAATTTTCATTCTAACTGTATGGAACCGATTTTCACTTGAAAATAAAAAGCACCAATTAATTTATTGATTACATTTGCAGATAGTGCAAAATATAACATGTATGCGCAAGATGTTGCAATATTTTTTTGTTTCCAATGTTTTTCTGATAAATATTATTCTGGTAAATTTATGAACACAAAAATTAATAGATGTAAAAAAATTTCAAAAATTTACAAATGTAAAAACCTACACGAAATTTTTTAATTAGACTTATTATTTGTCACCATTAAAGTTGTTTTTTATGAATATTTAACTATCTAAAATTCAAATGTGAACTATAATAAACTCTCGCTACAACAATATCCGATGCAATGATAAATCCCTCTACAACAATAAAATTTTGTGCTTCCGGTGAATTTGCATAGAACATAATGTTAATCTCCCCTCTATATAACGATATTCTGAACAGCAATAAACTCCTGTACAAGAATGTTTTTTTAAATCTCAACACCATTTTCTTCCTGTATAACAATATTTCTGTTTCCAAATACCCAGAAGTGAAAGATCATACCACCCAGAGCGTTTCCCTTCTCGGAAATGGATGTTACCCCAGATAGCACGTAAATTTGAAGCAAGTTTGATTTTGACTTGATATTACCTTGTCATGGCAAATTTGACGCGTCAAACTTGAAGCGAACTTGTGCCAAACTAACAATGCAGAATCGCCACTCCTCCTTGCAATGCAAGCTTGCTGTAAGTTTGCAAAAGAAGCTTGATGCAAGGATGATACCACAAAGAGATAATTATCTTTGTCTCAGATTTAAAAAAAAACATCCGATTTTAATAAAATCTCCTAGATCGTCCTTCTTTTTATTAATTCAATAAATCAATGATAATTTGTGAAAAAACTAACTTTTTTATAAAAAAAATGTTGAAACATTTTCCATCTTTTTACTAAATATAGAACTCGCACTTTAAAGAAAACTATATCGCCTTTTTCTTAATGTCGAAATTTTAACTTTTTTTAAACAAAATTACACCTAAAAAACAGTCAATGTTTGTTGAAAAATAATAACTTACATTTTGTCCCATTTTAAAAGTAATTACTTTTGAAACCTAATTTCATAATTTATTCTACTAGCAAAACGTAGTTATTAGCAAAAATCGCTCTCTCTTTGATTTCAAATCATATTCTCAACACAAAATTTAAAAAATTAATGGAATCAAGAAAAGAGTTTAAAATAAATCGTATGCGCGATGTATTAGCAAAATCTATCTTCACTTCTCAGAGTTTATCTGGCCGAGTGGTTAAAGCGTCCGCTTTGGAAGCGGAATGTCGCGAGTTCTAATCCGAAGTTTTTTTTCGTATTCTGTTTTTGCTATGTTTGCAATGAGTTTGACGTGGCAAGCTTGCTGCAAGTTCTTCGCGTGCTGACTTCGAAGCTTGCGTTAACTTGCTGCAAGCTTGCACCCCTGTCGTGTCAACCTTGCTGCAAGCTTGCAGAATTGCAGTGCAAACTTACTGCAAACTAAAATTGCTATCTGGGTATTGAAGTGACATTTAGGGGTCTATTCTGGTACCCCCGGTTGGGTTCCGCACATTAACAACGGAACCCAACCCAACTCAACCGGGGGTACCAGAATAGACTCCCTTAATTTCTTATCGAAACGAAACAACTGGATTTAATCTACAAAGCAAAATTTGAAATCTGTAAAATGTACTTCAGTGAGGCATGTAATGGACAGTTTTCACATTTTTACATGTTATAGTCGCTCCAAAAAAAGTGACTGTAAGTGGCACACGCGGTGTTTTAAGCATTTAACACGTGCTCTTTTACGTCATTCTGAAATGGGCATACACTACCATTCATTTGAGGTGCTTATTTTCGCTTGATAAATTTTCAAACATAGATAAGTTCAATTTAAAAATTCAGATTTTTCAAAATTTAATTTTGCCAACCACAAAATGCAGGGTTTTTTTTCTTTTATTTATTTAATGTGAGCGTTTGTAACATTTTCCGTTCGAAGATTTGCAGTGTTTGATGCTCAGAATCTGGCAACAATTTCAGATTTAAATGTCCCCGATTGTAATATTAATAGATTAATTTAATTGTATTGAACGTTTAATTAATAAAGTAAAAATTAAAATGTCGCTAAGTTTGTTTTCTTTCTACGATACATTATGAATAGTCTTTTGTTGTACGGTAATTTGCATTTGGAAGCATTTTACATCTGACAGTAGTTCAATTTTTAGGATCACCTGTTAGTTTATTTACTTTTTGAAAGTTCATTTAACATCATGCGAAGTAAGTTAATCTTCTTTAATTTTTGCATAATTGAACATTCAAATTAAGTCTAGACTAGTTTATTCAGTTTGCAAAATATTTTTATTCCGCAGTAGTGTGAATGGAGTTCAGATTCGGCCCTAATATTAAATTGCGTAAGGAAAAACAATTTAATTTTTCGAATATTTAGTTTTGATTTCAATTTTTATGTTTTGTGATTGCTAAGATTTTTTCATTCTGAGATTATTTTCTCAGGAGATCAGTCTTGCTTTTGTAATTCATGCATGTTTTAGTCATATTAAATGCTAAACAAATAAAGTAATCGTTAAATCTTTAAATACAGGTATCCTGCAAATCTGTTCATCTTTCCTGCTTTGTTTTTGTATGTTCTTTTCCTTTTGATTATATCAAAATCTTGCACATTTTTTATTGGAAGTTCACTATTTCGATTCTTAGAAACTAAATAATAATCAAAATAATTATTAAATACTCTCTGATTATATATTGAATAAAATATTACTTTGCTTCTTAATTTTAATGCATACATTTTGTGTGAAAAGTCAGTGGAATTTCATTTAATGATAGCTTATATATGAAAGGAATAAAATGAGATTAAAAATATATTAGTTTTCTAATGCTTCATTGATATTTGATTGTTGTTTATTTTTTGCAAAGTGTTCATAAGTCTCATAAATGCATGTTTTGCAATGCTTAGAGGGTTTTTATGTTTTCAGAATCTTTTTTTTTTTTTTATATCTTTTCATCATTTATGAAACTAGATTTTTCTGTAAAATCATCCATTTTTTTATGCTTACATAATTCTAGCTAATTTTAACAGCACGTTGCTTTTTGAATTCTCTTCAAAGTATTAAAATGTAATATTTTAGCTAAGGAAATATAATTGTTTCAAAACAGAAGGTGGTACAGAATGGTAATTATGAATAATAGAAGCAAAATTAATTATGACCTAGAATTTCTAGATTTCAAGAAAAACTACTGAATTTATGATGCAATTTAGAATAATTTTTTTAAAAAGTGCTTGATTTCAATTGAAGTAAGCAATTTTCACAAACATTAACAGTTAAATGAATGAAGCACTGAGTGACCGTTTAAATAGGAGAAAAAAATCAAATATTATATGAATATTCATATTAAAAAGGTAGATTAATGTATGATTATGTACTTAATATATATATTTGCAATGAAATAAATGTATTAGAAGGACATGCTGGTTTTTTTCTCTTTAGCATCATATAAAAACAAGCTTTAATATTTGTTTAGATATCAAAGGACTTTCTTCAGATGTGCTTGGAGCTTCCCAGCTAATTTATAATATATTTTAGCATTTTAATGTTTTCAAATAAAAAGTTAGGAATTTAAATAAGGAAGTACTACTTTCTTTTCCGGAAATTTGCTTTTATAACACATTGTCTTTTATTTCCCTTATATTTTCTCTCATTATATTAAATCTTCAGTTTTTCAAATTTAACTAACTCATTCAGGTTCCCATCATATTCTTTTACACATTGATTTAAATCCTAGAATTGTATCTTCTAAAGTAAAAGAGTTGAGAATTTTTTACTTCAATATAAAATGTCTAAATCTAAACTTCATTGAAAAAATTGATTCATACTAAATTGATTGCCATTGACTGACCCAAGATAGTTTAATAGGAAAAGGACATAAAGATGATGAACTACAAATTCTAGTATTTTCATATTGTTTTTTTTTTTTAAATCTTGAATGCTTTCACAGTTTTGATTAAATAATTATGTATTAATTATTGTATTAATTGAATTACTATTATCTAGGTCATCAGTTTTGCATAGTAAGCTGTTAATTACAGCTGAAATGCAATGGGCGATATGGGATCTGCAAGTTTTTTGCACATAGGGGACATTGTATCCCTTTATGCTGAGGGAAATGTTTGTGGATTTTTAAGTACATTAGGGTAAGTTATATGCAAATTTTGATTGTTATTTTATAAATTTTTGCATGATAAATTATTTCAGCTGTTGAAATTATTTCAAATAAATAAATGGTTACAAAACCACTGCTGCAATTTATTAAACTATAGATATTAGTACAATAAGAAAAAAATTATCAAAGTAATATGAATATTAAAATAATAACTAATAGGTAAGTACTAAAAATTCTTCGACTTTCCTTTATATCCCATACATGTTATAAAATGCAATTTCTGTAACTTATAAATAATATGCTTAGGTATTTATTTAACATATAGAATATCAAAAGGCTTTTACAACATCATATGTTTTCCATTCTTCATTTGTCTTGCATGTTGTCTTAATAGTAGCAATTTTTCTTAAAGGATAAAGTAATTTCAGTTGCATACTATCCCCAGTTGTGTATTAAATTTTTATTAGTTTGCATTTTTTGTTGATGAAAATTATTAAAATTTTGCATAATTTCAAAATCGAAGATCAAAGTTATTAATAAGAATTTATAATTTACTTTTACGTAAAATTTTCATGTATGGTATATATTGAATTTTTTTTTTTAATTGGAGTATTTTTAAGGGAAATATTTTTTCTCCCTTTTTAGGCTTGTGGATGACAGATGTGTCGTGCAACCAGATGCAGGAGACCTTGCTTCTCCACCAAAAAAGTTTCGAGGTTTGTAATATGTAATAATTACCTGATTTAATTTTACGTGCTGAATGATTACATTCTTAAAATTTCTTAATCGTTTTTTTCTTTCTTAGTTTTAATAATTATGATTGAAATATTTTTGTCTATGTTTTGAAAGGAAATTCTAAATGTTTTTTCGATTTCTTTTTCTTTAAATGCAATTTCTTTTTCTTTAAATGCAATTTCTTTTTAATAAACTGATGTAATTTTTATTATCTTTCAACTAATTTTTTTTTTTTTTTTGACAGTGAGAGAAGAGGAGATGGATATTGGACAATATTAAAAAAAAAATTTGTTTTAACAAAATTCTATTTGATATGAAGGAAAATTTCTTACTACAAGCATTAGCCCTTTTTAAAGTTAATTTATTTATATATTAGTTTTTGACAAAAGATGTTCAACAAATATTAGCAAAGTTACTTTTTGAATTTTTAAAAATATGCCTTGATGTTAATGTTAACTTTATTGATGTAGGGAATGTATGCTTAAGTTTGCATTAAAAAATTATTTATGTGGTAGTCTTTGGAAAGGAAAATTATATGATCACAGACCAGTTTTGTTATATTTTTCCATGAATGTAAAATTAGATATACAAGCAAGCATTTATTTGAACATTCTGTGGAATTAAAAGTTGTGATTATTTAGCTGGTTCCTGAAGGTTGCAAGTTGGTTGTATTTTAATAATTTTTACTTTCTCGTATACGAAGTATACAAAGAGAAAGTTTTGTAATCGTCAAAAAATTCGAACTCGAGATTTTGACGGATCTCCACGTTTTAGACCTCCCTGAGTCCGAAAAACACAATTTTGGAATTATGTCTGTCTGTCTGTGAACACGATAACTTGAAAAGTATTAGAGCTACGGGGATGAAATTTGGTATGTGGTCTTTACACATAGTTTGTAGGTTTCTATCAACTTTTGGACAAAATCCGTCAACGGGAAGTCTGTCTGTATGTTCGAGGTCATGCGAACGCTATAATTCCAAAACTTGAAAAGCCAGATGGATAAAATTTGGTACACAGTTTTATCGTCGTGAATGTAGGTCCGTATAAAATTTTGCGCCAAATCCGTCAACGGGTTGACTGTCTGTCTGTCGGTCTGTATAATTTACCATTGAAACCAATCCGCTGTCTCCACACGCATGCATACTTCTGTGCTCGCGAAAGGAGCGATTACGTCAGTTTGTCCTTGAGACGGCAAGAGCAGTGTGCGACAGATGTGTTTTAATCAGTATGCATCTCTTTGAATTCTTTGCCTAGATATTTTTCAATAACTATAATGAAAAATCTTCTGATAGTCATTGGATTCTGGATAACAGTAAGTTCGAATTTTTTTAGCCACGCGGGGAAGTAGAAACGGCACCTTTTGGGGGAAGTATACGAGAAAGTTTAGGGGAGAACACTCCCGCTGGTTTTATTTGAACTTTA